TAATATAAATGCTATAGATAAAAGAATGCTGACGCTTTTTAGAATAGAATATCAGTTAGATTTTGAAAACGAGCCAGGCACAAAATATAGTTTTTAAACTGTTATACTGTTATATTGCACTTAGCTAGAAGACAGAGGAGAGCCACTAGTGGGAATGGGAATAGGTGGGGGAGGGTCGAGTGATTTTGGAGTTCGGGATTTTGGGGTTGTTCTTCATTATAGTATATAGATTTGTCAGCTACACAATTCCAATAAACCAATTCCAATATGTTGGTTCACACGCTCTCGAGGATGGGTGCATGGAAATGGTATAAAATTCGAGTTTTCATAGTTGATTTGCTTCTTCTTCTTCATTCTTGTCTTTTATATTCATTCATATACTTCTTCCTCTTTGTTATAGTAATTATTTTAGTTAGTTAGTTAGTTAGTTACTTGTTGTTGTGCCTAGAAAGCACGCACTTAAATAAATACATACATACATATACATATATAAATGGTAGAGGTACATACGATACATATACATCAAAATTGTTTGTTTACTTTTGTTTTGGTTTTTCTCGAATTAAAGTGAAGTTCAAAATTTGATTTCTTTGGTAGTTCCATATATATATACATACATATATATATATATCGATGCAGATATATATGTCTATGTGTGTGTCTGTGTTTCTATGTGTGTTGTCTCTATTGGCCGCTTAGCTTAAACATCAACAACCATTTTCTTATGTATATCCGTATTGCCCACCACAGAGCAGAACTCATCGAAGGAGATCTTGCCATCCTCATCCTTGTCGGCAAAGCAAATGGTCTTGTCGACAATCTGTTGCAGTTGCGTATCCTTCAAATTGTTGCCGACCATCATTTTCAGCACCTGGAAGAGCTCGCCGTTCGATATGTAGCCATCGTTGTCCATATCGTAGATGCGAAAGGCGAAACGCAACTTCGATAGTTTATCGCCGCGAACACTGAACTGTGACACGCCTTGGATGAACTCCTTGAAGTCCACCTCACCATTGCCGTCGGCATCGAAAATATCGATAACACGCTGCACAAGCGGATTCTGCTGTAGCTCCGGCAGTGACATGAATTCATCGATACTCAATGCACCCGAATTATCGAGATCGAGTTTTCGAAAACGTTTTCCCAAACGACGAATTTCATCGGCATCGAAATTGGAGCACATGTCCATTGGCAGCGATGTCTCGTTACCCATGTTGAATGTCCTTGTTCTATCTCTTTTTCGCTCTACCTAAATTTAGCTGAATTTTTAATGAATACACAGAAATAAGATATTTATATATA